CGACCAAGTTTACCGAGGGGCAGGGCGCGCGGCGCAGTTCGGAGAGCGCCGCCTCGAGGGCGGGCGCGCTCTGCCCGAGCCGCACGTTGACGCCGTCGATGATGTCTCCCAGCTGCGCGATGAACGAGGGCGGCTCGGGCAGCGCTCGCCACCAGTCGACAGCGCGCTGCAGAGTGCGGAACGCGCCCCGGTAGTGGCGGACGACAGTGCGGTCATAGTTAGACCCGTCCTCCGCGTCGGCCCACTGCACGTCCGCGATGATGCCAAACGTGAAGAGCGGCGCGGAGGCAGCGCGGGGCGACGGCGGCACACTCAAGGCGAGAACACCGCCGCTGGCGCTCGCACCGATGGCCAGCGCTGCAGCTCGGAGTTGGACGCGCTTGCAGACGTGCATGAGCACGACGGCAGAGCTTGGAGGTCGAGCACGTAGCCAGCGCCAGCGCCGATCGTTGGTGCAGCGGAGGGAGGAACTCGATTTTTAACCGTTTTTTCTTTCTTTACGGCCTTCCGAGGAGTACGACAAAATAGCGCCCGTGATTGCATACCCGAAAGAAAGAGAGGGGAGCTCGCAGGAGAGGTGACGAGTGAACTACAGGTTAGTGGGGAAGGCAGCCTCGATTGCCATACAGACATGGATGGGTGCGAAACAACGACAAGACCAAGGCACGGGCGGGCAGAGGGGCGAGAGAAGAATATAGGGTGGATAAAGCGCCTTTTCACGGCATGGAGGGTGAGCCACGCTGAACGAAATGAACTTAGAGCCAAAACGGGGGGAAGCCGGGGAAGAGGACTCCGAGGAGGACGACACACAGTGGTAATCTCGTCGTCAGCTGTCACGATGGTCGATGCACCCGAAGGGGGGCCAAAATATGCCGCGAGGAGGGCAGAGCTGCGACGAGAGGCGGGAGAAGCCGCGAGGGCAAGGGAGCGGCAGGCGGCAGCGCCGTCGCAGAACGAGGCAGAGGAGAGCGACGCGAGTCGCGACACCGACAGAGGAAGAGGCGACAAAAGAGAGAACGACGAGAGTGGGACGACCGCGAGGTGGCATGAAGGTTGCAGCGAGAATCGGCGAGAGACTGCGAAGGGAGATAGGAAGAGGCGGACGCCCATGGTGGGGTGATGATAGGCGGAGCTGCGCAAGCACGAGATGGAGAACGCGAGGCTGTGGTGTTAAAGCAGTGAAAGGGTGGGCGACGGCTAGCGCATCACACCCCTCTCCATAAAATCCCTGTGTGGTGGCGGCGTGCCGTCCTCCCATCCCTCCCTTGGGTTGGCTGTTTTCTTTCTTTCTTTTTTTACGGCCGCTGGGTGCGCTTCTTACTTCCCCAACCCTGGGCGTGCAATTAATGACCGCACTCCAAGTCCTCCACAAAACTCCCTCTTACACTACACATGAACATGCATATGTGCATGCACATGTGCACGTGCATGTGCTACGGGTATGGGCCGCCGCTCGAACGCTTCCCGGTCGGACTAACATCTATCTGCTGACGTCGGCCGGTGACCCCTCGTCGATCGAGTGGCCTCCGGTTCGAAATCGGCAGGTTGAATATTTTTTCTACATCTGAGCGGGCTAAATTTTGCTCTAGATGCCT